ATCTCTGTCATCTCTGTCTCTCCTATCTGTAAACTTACCTTTCAAACAACAATAAAAAAATTTAAAATCTTCCTACCCCGTCCAGTCTCTCTTTAGAAAGGAAAGTAAAAGGTAGAGAATTAAGGTCATTAAAATCCTCAAGTCAAAAATCCTCAAGTCATTTCTAATAAAACTTTGTGAATTTACTGGTTTTTTAAAAAAATATATTTATTTATTTTTATAGAAAGGCAGATATATAGAGAGAAGGAGATACAGAGAGGAAGATCTTCCGTCCAATGGTTCACTCCCCAAGTGACCGCAACAGCTGGAGCTGAGCCAATCCGAAGCCAGGAGCCAAGAGTTCTTCCAGGTCTCCCACGCAGGTGCAGGGTCCCAAAACTTTGGGCCGTCCTCAACTGCTTTCCCAGGCCACAAGCAGGGAGCTGGATGGGAAGCAGGGCTGCAGGGATTAGAACCAGCACCCATATGGGATCCTGGCGCATGCAAGGCGAGGACCTTAATCACTGCGCTATCACGCCAGGCCCTGTGCATTTACTGTTACAAAAATCCCCACTGCTGGCAAGACTGAATGTATATACGCAGAAGAATGTAATTAGATTCCCACCCCTTAGCATATACAATCAACTCAAAATGGATCAAAGACTTAAAGTTAAGACCTGAGATTATAAAGTTGAAGCAAATGTAGGGGAAATTCAAAACATTATTTTTGTGTAGGCAATGGTTTCATGTTATTGTTTAGATTTACTTGAAAGTCAAAGGTAGAGAGGGATAAACACACATACAGAGAGAGAGAGAGAGAGAGAGAGAGAGAGATCATCTATCAGGTGGTCCAGTCCCCAAATGGCTGGCCAGGGCAGTGGCAAGCCAAAGCTTGGAGCTTCATCTGGGTCTCCCACATGGGCAGCAAGCGCTCAAGTACTTGGGCAATCTTCTGTTGCTTTTTCCAAGCCTTTAGCAGGCAGCTAGATTGGAAGCACAGTATCCGGGATATGAACTGGTGTCCATATGAGATACCCACATTGCAGGTGGTAACTCACTCCTCTGTACCACGGCACTGGCCTCTGGTGCTGCTTTCTTGAATCAGAGCCCCAGAGCACAGACAACAAGAGCGACACCAGATGAACGGGACTAGAGCAAACGCAGAAGCTTGCGCACTGCAAAGGAAATGATCAACAGAGTGAAGAGACATGTGACAAAATGAGAGGAAGTCTGTGCAAGTCACCTGTCAAGAATCAATTATCCAGAATGCATCAGAAACTTTACAAGCTCAGCAACAAGAAAGTGACCGATTCAGTTAAGGATAGACAAAAGACCTCAGTGAGAGTTCTCACAAAGAAGATGCAAATGATTGGCAAAGATATGAAAAATGCTCAACAGTCGTCAGTGAAATGCAAATCAAAACCACAATGAGTTATCACCTCATCCCAGTCCGAATGGCTGAAACCAAAGTGCAGCCAGCAGCTACTGCTGGCAAGGATGCAGAGAAAGGGGGAGCCTCGCAGGCTGCTGGTGGGAATGTGAGTTAGTGCAGCCGCTGTGGAAAACAGCACGGAGATGTCTTAGAAAACCCGAAACAGACCTGCCACATGAGCCAGCCATTCTACTGCCGGATAAATACACAGACATGCCTGCACCACCGTGTGTACAGCAGCAGTGTTCACCACAGCCAAACTAGGAAATCAACCAAGGTGTCCACCATCAGCTGAATGGATAAAAAAAAAAAAAAATTGTACATACTTATATACAATGTGGTATTATCAAGCTAAAACAGAATGAAACTCTACTGTTTGTACCAAAATGGACATTCATGTTGCGTGAAATAAGTTGGACCCAGAAAGACAAATAACACATGTTCTCCCTCACGTGTATGGGAGCCCAAATTCAAGGAAAGAAAAAAAAAAAAAACTCACCATAACCCAAAAGAGAGGAACGCCTGTGCATCAGTATTGCTGCAAATATAGTTTTATCAGAGTTGGTTTCCGATGATTTTCAAGCCAATGGTTAAGAATAATATGGTAGCCCAGGGCTGGCACAATGGCTCAATTGCTGATTCTCCACCTACAAGCACTGGCATCCTATGTGGGTACTAGTTTATGTCCTGCCTGCTCCACTTCCCATCCAGCTCCCTGCTGGTAGCCTAGGAGGGCAGTAGGGAATAGCCCAAAGCCTTGGGATCCTGCACCCACATGGCTCCTGGCTCCTGGCTTCAGATCGAAACAGCTCCAGATATCATGGCCATTTGGGGAGTGAACCAGAGGATGGAAGATCTTTGTCTAGCTCCTCTCTGTAACTCTGCCTTTCCAATTTAGAAGAAAAACATCTTTAAAAATAGTAATATGCTATTACTCAGTTTTACTGAGCCATGATGACTTTACAAGTGAAATGGTCATCTCTTTGCAACTCGTGTCATGAGCAACAATCATTTGCTTCTAGCTCGTAGTCTTTGCCTCTGTTACCTGAACAAACGGAAGCAGAAGGAGCAGCCTTAGCAACAGTTCCGTCACTCACTACGGAAGAGCCCAGCAGACCTGTGGCTGTGAGCTTGTTCTCAGCCATCAAACTTCCTAAGGAATATATAGTATGCCAAGCTTTTTTGGGCTTTGCAAGGGGAGCAAGGCAGCAGCAGAAAATGAACTATCATTCACTTCTTTCATTTTTTTTTTTTAAATTTGGGATTGGACTGGACGTCTGCCCTTTGGGACTTACACCAGCCTGATGCTTGGGCTGCTACTTAACATGATCACCCCGAGGACCCAGGGATGGCACAGGGCAGCTTCTGGTGGGGCCTTGGACTCCTATCTCATACCTGGTGCTCATGGTTTTCTCCTCCCCCCTCCCCCCCCCGCCTCATCTGTCCTCACACTCCCCCCTCTGCTTCCGTTCAGGAAATGCTGTCTACATAATGACCAGAGTTCCTCTTTCTGGTGAAACCTTTCAGAGCAGAGCCTGGAGATAAAGCAACCACCACGAGCAGTTCCCCAAATATTAGAGAGTCAGGGCATCCTGCCTGCATCACACGTAGCAGACAGCCCAGGCCAAAACCTCACGGCCCGTGCTCTCACCCTGTCAGTGCACCTGTCACACACACACGGTAGACAGGTGCGGTCAGCACCCGCACTGCAGACTGCTGACCAGCAACACCCCATCCAGTCTGTGTGGTTTTAACATGCAGCTGTTGAACGAAATTGTTCTGTGATGATTTTCTACTTGTCATTATGTTTTGAAGGACACAGTGGTGGGCACGGACGGGTGCCGTTAAGTTAAATGCCTGAGCAGGCACGTGGTTGTATGTGGGAGCCACTGTGCTCACCCTCCTTCCTGCTGAGGGACATGGGACTTGGACGCAGCCATGGTGAGTGTCCCTGGGTGTCAGCTGGGACGCTCGGGGGTGTGTTCCTCTGGGGATGCTTCTTGCAAGCAGACCTAAGGGGCTGCAGGTCACGTGAGTTTGCGCATGTTCTGCAGAAGCACCGCAGATCGTCCTGCCCACGTGCATGCTTAGCTGAGCATGGCTGCTTCTCCTATGTGTCTTTGTAACAAACATGATTGATTTATGAAAAAGAAATTTGGAGAGATGGGTGTGGAGAGAGAGAGAGGATTTCCATTGATGACTTCACTTTCACTGTCTGGGGCTGCTGGGCTAAACACTTACCCCCTGTGGTGTTTTAGTCCACACCCCCTGGCCACTGGTTAATTAATTAAACCTCTCTGGCCACTGGTTAATTAAGCCTCTCTTCATCGCTTCTCTGATTTATTTTACTATTGGTGTTTTTAAAAATTAACTTAATGGGGGTCTTTTCATTTCAGCATGCAAATCCTTTGTCATGGGTATAACATTTAACAGTAGTTTCCTGTATATTACTGGATATTTCAGCTCTTTATAGTTCCTAATTCTATGCATTTTTTCCCCTTGGTAACCTTTGGGTCACTTGCTTGGTGGAAGAAAGCCCACCCCAACTCAAGGATACATGAAGGTTTCTGTCTACAACTTTTATATTTATTCTTAACTCTCTCTCTTTATCTACCTAGAATTTGAAAGGCAGAGAGAGAATGAATGAGATATCTTATCCTCAGGCTCACTCCCAAAATGCTTACAACAACCAGGCCAGGGCCAGGGCCAGGCCAGGAGTCAGAGCTGGGGGACAGAGCTAGGAGCCAGAGCTAGAGCCAAGAGACAGAAGCCAGGTGCCAGGGAGCAGGGTCCAGGAGCCAGGAGCCAGGGGCCAGGGGCCAAGTGCAGGGTCTAGGAGCCAGGAGTCAGGAGTAGGAACCAGGAGCCAGGTGCCAGGTGCCAGAGGGCCAGAAGCCAGGAGCCAGGAGCCGGGAGCTAGAAGCCAGAGCCAGAGCCAGGAGCCAGATGCCAGGTGCCAGGGGGCCAGGAGCCATAAGCCAGGAGCTAGGAGCCACAGCCAGGAGCCACGAGCCACGAGCAGAGCCACGAGCCAGGAGCCAGAGCCACGAGCCACGAGCCACGAGCCACGAGCCAGGCACTCAGGCCTCGTCTCCCCATGCAGATGACAGGAGGATAACCACCGAGCCACCTGCTGCTTCCCGTGGTGTGCCTTGACAGGAAGCTGGAACGCAGAACAGAGCCAGACTTGAACCCCAGTACTCCAACAGGAGATGCAGCTGTCTGAAGCAGCAGCTTAATTGTTTTAATTGCCTCCCCCATTTCGGCATTGTTTTTGTCTGATTCTTTTTTAGCTCACACTCTCCATTCCATGGTGCAAAGCAGGAATCAAGCTTACACATCATCAAAGACTGAAATCAGTTCATTTTCGCTCCCTGGGGCATGAAGCAGGCGCATGTGTGAGTTTGGAGCCGAGTGCCTGGACTTCTGTGTCGTTCTCACTTTTAAGATTTATTTATCGGAAGGGCAGAGATACAGAAAGAAAAGAAGAGACAAAGAGAGCTAGAGACCTTGTCACTGCTACTTCACTCTCCAGATGACCACAAGGACCAAAACTGCGCTGATCTAAAGCCAGCAGCCAGGAGCTTCTTCCCAGTCTCTCACGTGAGTGCAGGATCCCAAGCAACTGGGCCATCCTCTACTGCTTTCCGCAGGCCCACAAGCAGGGAGCTGAATCCAAAGTGGAGCAGCTGGGACATGAACCTGCACCCATATGGGATGCTGGCATAGCAGGTGGCAATGCTACCCACTACACCGCATTGCTGACCCCACTTGTGGTTTCATCAATCCCTCTCTGACTCCAGTCCCTCGTCTGTGAAAAAGGAAAATCACAATTTCTTTTTTTTTTTTTTTTAGATAAATAATAAGCAGGGTTTTAGCACTGCTGCCTCAAACGAGAACAAGAAAGAGACTTGCCAAAGAAGAATGAGGCTTAACTGAGAGCAGCAGAGTCTCACAGGTGGGTGCACCTCATGCAGATTTCTGGGTGTTTACAGGAGACTGGGGCACAGAGAAGGCTTTGAAGAAGTGAGGAGAATCACAGCAGATGTCCGGAAGCAATCATCTTTGGCCTCCATGATTAACTCCATCTGGGAATGGACTGGCAGCTGTTGAGTAAATGTTTGCGTGCCAGTACTTTTTGCGTCGTGTGGGGCACCCATGACACCAGCATCCTATAGAAGCCCTGATTGGAATCCTGAATACGCGCCACTTCTGTCTAGCTCTTCATTTTATGTGCCTGGGAAAACAGTGGAAGAAGGCCTAAGTACTGGGATCCCTGCCACCCAGGTGGAAGACCTGGGTGGAGTTCCTGGTTCCTGACTTTGGCCTGGCATTGCGCCAGCTGTTGTGACCATTGGGGGAGTGAACCAGGGATGGGAGACCTCTAACTCTGCCTTTCAAATAAATAAAATACATACTTTTGTTTAAGAACTCTTAATCCAACATTACTTATTATTATTTTGGGGGAAAGGCACTGTATCAGCGGCCCGTGTCAACACAGACAGCACCCCAGTAAGCGGGAGCCATCTTCACACTGGATTTATGTATTTTGGGGGGTCTGCTTCTAGGCTTGCTGTGTCAGTTTTTCTCCTTCAGAGCCCAGCAACAGCTTTGGGCACAGTAACTTTCTCGTGGATGTTTCTGCCCATTGCATTTTTCACTGTTGCATTGTCGGGTGTTCATGACAAACGTTTTGCATCATATACACAACTCTGCCGAGTGTGGTCCTGTAATGCTTTTCCATCTTTCCATCAAGCACAAGGCACCGAGGGAAACAGAGTGAAGAGATAAGCTGATCTGGGCGCAGAAATAAATCTGAAATCTTGCACAGTTTTTTTTTTTTTCTATAAAGTATTTCAAGACCTCTTGCGTGCATGAATTCCAAAAAGATGTCACTCCCCAAATGTTCCCAACATCAGGGCCAAAGTTAGGATCCAACGGCTTAGTCTAGGTCCCCCCCCAGGAATGGCAGGGCCCCAAGTGGTTGAGGCATGACTTGCTGCCCAGTAGCAGGAAGCTCGCATCAGCAGTAGAGTCAGGATTCAAACCCAGGCCTTCAATACGGAATACAGTCCTCACCAACTGCACTTAACTGCCAAATGCCAATCCCCAAACAGTGGGGTGTTTTAAAGGATTTTATCGATACATAAAATTATCAAGCTTACAACTAACACATAATTCCTGTCTCACACAATTCTTGTCTATTCCTGTGTTAATGTGATTCTAACACAAGATGATTCCATGTAGTTCACAGATATAATTCTAAGAATCTAATTACACCTCCTTCCCTCCCTTTCTCACTTCCTTTCCTTCTTTATTTCTTACACAGAGAGGTCTTCCAACTGCTGGTTCCCACCCCAAGGGAGGAGAGGAGAGGAGAGGGGAGAGAGAGAGAGAGAGAGAGAGAGAGAGAGAGAGAGAGAGAATCTTCTTGTACTTGCTGCTTCACTCCCCAAATGGCTGCGATGGCCAGAACTGAACTGATCGAAGCCAGGAGTTTCTTCTGGTCTCCTACTTGGGTGCCTACAGGGTCCCAAGGACCTGGCATCCCTTACTGTTCTCCCAGGCCATAAGCAGGGAACTGGATTGAAAGAGGAGCTCTGTAGGCCAGCAGGTAAAGCCAGCATCTGTGGCACTGGCATCCCATACGGGTGCTAGTTTATGTTCTGGCTGTTGCGCTCCTCACCCAACGCCCTGCTTAGTGTACCTGGAAAGCGGCAGCAGATGCTCCAAATGCTTGGGCCCCTGTGCCCATATGAGAAGATGCTCCTGGCTCTTGCCTTTGGACCAGCCCAGCTCCAGCCACGGTGGCCATTTGGAGGGAGTGAACCATCAGATAGAGGATGAATCTGGACCTCTGCCTGTCTTTCTCTCTCTCTCTTCCTTCCTCCTTGTTTCCATAACTGTGTCTTTAAAATAAATAAATAATAAATAAAAAGAAAATAAGTGGAGCAGCTGGGACACAAACCAGGTGCTCATATGCAATAGCTGATGTTGCAAGCAGTGGCTTACTTGTCTGCTGTGTCACAATACGGCCCATCTCTGTGCTATTTTTTTTTGCTTCTTTGTTTAAGATTTATTTATTTTTATTGGAAAGGCAGATATACAGAGAGGAGGAGAGACAGAGAGGAACATCTTCCTTCTGATGATTCACTCCCCAAGTGGTCGCAATGGCTGGAGCTGAGCCAATCTGAAGTCAGGAGCCAGGAGCTTCTTCCGGTTCTCCCACGCAGGTGCAGGGTCCCAAAGCTTTGGGCCATCCTCGAATGCTTTCCTAAGCCACAAGCAGGGAGCTGGATGGGAAGCAGAGCTGCCGGGATTAGAACCTGTGCCCATATGGGATCCCGAGCATGCGAAGAGAGGACCTTAACCACCACACTATCGCGCTTGGCTCATCTCTGTGCTAATTTTTAAATCCACTTGTTAGAGTTCTTTCTGTACTCTAGATACAAGTTCCTTATCAGACACAGCATTTGTAGGTATTTTTAAAATCTATTTGAAAGAGATTCAGTTAGGTGAATTTTCTATTTGCTACTTGACTATCCAATTGCCCATAACAACTACAGCTGGGCCAGGCTCAAGGAGCACCCCAGGTGAATGGCAGGGCTCTAAGAACCTGAGCCCGCAGCTGCTGCCTTCACAGAATGCACTAGCAGCTTGCTGGAGTGGAAGCCTCAGCTAGAACTGCGTTAGTGAGTGCGCATGTCTGAGGCAGCCTCGTCACATGCTGGGCTACAGCATCTCTGCTATCTTTTTACTTTTTTCATGATGCCCTTTGACGCACAGAATTAAAAAATTGGATGAAATTTATTTTTTTGTGTGTGTGTGCTCATGGTGTTGTGTAAGAGTTGCCAATCACCAGATTATGAAGACTTATTCTTTTTTAAATGTTTATTTTCAAGTACTTGAAAGAGTGATAGAGAGTAAGAATGAGAGACTAGAGAGAGAGAGAGAGAGAGAGAGAGAGAGAGAGATTGAGAATATCTCTTTGTTGATTTGCTTCCCGAATGCCTGCAACAGACCAAAGCTTGAATCAAGGAGCTCCATTTGGGTTTCCTTGTGGATGGCAAGCCCTTGAGCTGCATCCCAGGATACACGGGAAGGGAGCTGGACTGGAAATGTATTAGCAGGACAGGAAACAGCATTCCCTGTGGGAGAACCAGCCTTAACCCCCTGTGCCCTCTGTCCACACTTGTCTTCTCTTCTTCAAAGAGGCATGGAGTTGCCATTTTTAACATTTAAACCTCAGGTTACTTTTGAATGCGGATACTCACAGAGGTGTCCCACTGCTTTCACCATCCACTGTGGAATATTTTCTTCATCCCAGAAAAGGCCCCTCAAATCCTTCAGCTGTGCACGGGCAGCACAGATCTGGTCCTGTTGCTACAAATGTCCTTGTCCCAGCCAGGATCCGGTAACAGGTGATCCATGGTGGCTGGCTGCTTTCTTCGATTTAGCATCATGTTTTCCAGGTTCATCTGGTTGCAGCATGCACCAGGACTTCCTTTTCCGCACAGAATCGCCTTGTGTTCATCTGCTTATCAGTTAACGAAACTGGGGTTGTATACCCCCGGAGGCTCTGATAGATAACGTTGTGGAAATCATGAGCGTACAAGCGTTTGTGCATACGTATGCTCTCATCTCTCCTGGGTACATGCAAAGCGGTGACACTGCTGGGTTAGATGACAGCTGAGGAACCATCAGACTGTTTTCTCTGAACGCTGTCACGTTATAGTCCCACCAGCAGCATATGGGGGTTCTAGCTGCAACCCTGTCGACACGTGTTGCTATGTTTTAAATTGTAGCCACCCTAGATTGCCTTGGTAGTGTTGCATTGCATTTCCCAAACACCCTTGGATGTACTCAGCGGTCATTCTCCCCTCCTTGGAGGAATTCCCACTCAGATCTATTTTGGGCTATTTTCTCTCTCATTACTGAGTTGCAAGCACTCTATGTATTTTGGATAGAAGTCCCTTATCATATATATACATTTTTTTTTCTCACTCTGTCTTTTCACTTTCTTGATGGGATCCTTTGATATACGAAGTTGTGTAATACTTTTGCTATTGTGAAGTACGTGTCCTCTGACTCTGTTCTTCTTTTTCAGACTGTTTGAATTCCGATGTAAACCTTGCTGATTTCTGCCCCCAAAGCCCTAGCGGGGCTGTTTCACCCGGATTGTGTTGGAATCTGGACCTCACGGAGGGGAGGGGATGTTGCCCTTTCATCCCTGAGGTCCATGACCGTGACTTCAGCTTCGTCAGATGTTACTCATTTGTTTTCTGTAGTTCTTTGTAGCTTCTGTACCATCTTGGGTTACTTTTGTTAGACCTACACATAGGCAGTTTTGTTTCTTCGGATGGCGGTATACATTATTTTTTTCTCTTATTTTTTAGTTTCAGTTGGTTCTAGCATCGAGGAAAACAAGTGGTGTTTATATGTTGCTTTTGTGTCCTGCAATCTTGCTGGTTTATTGGTTCTAACAGTGTGTGCGTGCATTTCCTAGGATTTTCTATGTAGGGACAGTTTTATTGACTGTAATGCGAGGGCCTTTTTCTCTTCCTAACTGATCCGGGCAGAGGCTCCAGGATGATGTTAATCGGAAGTGACAGAGGCCGACCCTGTCAACCTTTCCCTGGATCTCCGTGAGCTGCTAAGTGTGAGCTTTGCCTGTGTGTGAGTTTCCTTCAATTCCTATTTCCTGAGTGTTTTTTTTTTTTTATCATGAAAAGATGTTGGGTTTTGTTACATTCATCATAGAAATATTTAAAATGCTTATCACGGCCCATTTTGTTGTGGGCACATACGTCACTGTTACGGGGTTATTGCGAGAAAACTTCAAAGTCACGGGCATCCCTACAATGGCAGGTGGGAGAACAGTGAGGCGACGTCGAGCTTCTGCACAGGTGGCGTGGCTGATCCTGAACTTTCTGCTCACTCTCTCGCACCATGGAGCTTGGGACCTGGGGCCAGTACAGAAGCTGGCAGTGAGGGTGAACACATGCTGTGCCCAGGGCTAGGGGCCACCATGGAAACTGGTAGCGAGGGTGACCATACATCGTCCCGAATATCTTGAGGCCACCACAGAAGCTGGCAGCGAGGGTAGCTGTATGCTGTGCCCGGGATCTGGGGCCCACCTTGGAAACAGGCAGCGAGGGTGGGCACACAATGTGCTCGGGGCTCACTCACACCCTGCCCAGGTAGGAACTCACCGGTACTGCTTCTGCCGCGATTCCAGTTCCTGTCGCCTGTGCTGCTTGAGGACATGGATCTGGTCATCCCGGGCCAGCTTGGCTGTGAAGGAGGGACAAGGATGAGCGGAGCCTGGGCTGGAGCAACTCTGGTTCCCAGCTCAGGTTGCCCCATGCCACATGCTTCACACACATTTTCTCATTTAACCTCAGGGTCACCTGCCATGTTACTGTGAGGACATCAAGGCTGGGGCAGGTCAAGGAGTTTCATCCTTACACTTCATCCATGGCCAGCCACATGCCCTCATCATCTCTGCTGCAAGGGAAACTCCAGTTCTCCATCCACCCGCCTATGTACCCAGTAGGCCTTGCAGTCCCAGTGCATGAGCCAGGCTTGCCATGATCACAGACTGGCCAGGTCCGGGCCAGGTCTCTGGCTCTTGGGCAGTTCTTGCCCACCTCTGTCTGGCCTTACCACCTCATCTTCTCACCTTCCACCCAGCCCTTTGGGAGGTAGCTTCTGCAGGAAACCTGGGGCCTCCACTGCAGCGTGTCTTGTCACCACGAGGGACGGCATCTCATGGCTCCCCGGAGGAGTTTCTAAGTTTCTAAGCCAGTGCCAAGAGAGGACGCTTTTGCCCCTGTAGCTCTTGGCTGAGCTAAAAAAATGATGGTCGGCTGGGTGGTTGTGCTGCTTGGAAGAGCAGCAGGAGTCTCTGTGCTTGTTTTGTTAGTCTGCTTGGTGGGTCCACAGAAAATTGAGGCACTTAAAAAAAAGAAAGAAAGAAAATCGAGGCACTGAGCATGCAGTGTCCAGGTGCCTAGGCCAAGTAGATGCACAGAGGACTCAGAAGGAAGCCCCGCCTAGAGCAGTGGAGCGTCTGGGGCTGCCAGCTTGCTGTGGTGAGATGCAGATTTCAGGGGCTTATCGCATGGGGCCAGCACTGTGGCTTAGTGATGGCTTAAGTTAGGAATGCAGTGCTGACATCCCATATGGTCTCTTCAAATCCCAGCTGCTTCCCTTCCAGTCCAGCTCCCTGCTGATGCTCCTGGGAAAGCAGTGGAAAGTAGCCCAAGTGCTTGGACACCTGCAGCCATGTGGGAGACCTGGAAGAAGCTCTGCTTCCTGGCTTCAGCCTGGCCCCAGCTGTCCCCATTGTTGAAGCCATTTGGGGGAGTGAACCAACAGGTGGAAGATTTTTCTGTCCATCTCTGTCTCTCTCATCTCCTTCTCGTTCTCTCTCTGCAACACTGCTTTGCAAATAAATTAAAAAAAAAAACAGAGGAGAGAGAGATTATTGCAAGGAGAATGATGAAACTGCTAATGTACTGAGCTCCTTCCTGTCAGGTTGCTCAAAGGTTTGACTATCGTGCCACGCACTGTATCAATAATGGCTACAAGATATAGGATACTTCACCCACTGAGGGGTCGGGAGGGGTTGCTCTTTTCCTGACTCTGGGGTGCTCTGTGATGGCTCAGACCGATAGGATTTGCAGAAGTCACACTTTGCTAGTGTGTAGGGCTGATGGCATCCGCCTCTATCTCTCGCAACTTGCTCTTGGAACCACCGGGGGTTCATCTGAGACCATGATGTCGTGGTAGGTCTCCAAGAACGAGGTTACGGGTGCAGAGGTGGCCCTGGAGTTTCGAGGTGCATGGAAGAGAAGAATGAGCTCAGACGCAAGGGTTCCAGTCCTGGCCCTTCCAGCAGACAGACGCCATGCGGGTCACAGATGAACCGCCCAGTAGAATCCTTCCCTGTCCTGTTTAAGCTTCTAAGCTGGTTGCTTATATGGCAGTAGGCAGTGTAGCTGACTGAAAGTGCCTCTGTACCCACCTCCCCCGACCCTCCCTGCATGTGACTGGCATTGGGCTTGGGCAGCGGGGTCATGATCAGAGCAGACTTACTCTTCACCTCCTATCTGCAGTGTCTCCAAGGATGCCTGCCTCACTGCTGAGGGCCACAGCCCTTCCAAGGAAGCTGTCTCCAGGGTTCCCCTCTCTGGGATTATTCTCACCTTCTCCCCCGCCTCCACCCTTTGGGACCAGCTGTGCTGCTGGCTTCACACAGGTGTGGCCCTTCTGCACAATGGACACATTGGCCCACCCCTATCTCAAGTCCCTTTAAATTTTTTTGTTGCTTATTATTTTTGAGAGTGAGAGGAAGGGAGAGAGAAAGAATGAGGGAGAGAGAGAGAGAATGAGGGAGCAAGAGAGAGCTCTTTCATCTGCTGGCTCACACCCCAAACGTTTGCAACATCCAGGGCTGGACTAGGCCAAAGCTGGGACTCTGAAACACAATCTAGATTTCCCACATGGGTGCAGGGACCCTAGCATTCGAGCCACCATATGTGTGTCCCATGGGATTATGCATTAAGAGGTTGAAATAGGGAATGCAGCCAGGAGGCCTCCAAGCCAGGCATCCTGATAGGAGATGTGGGCTCTCAGGTGATAACAGATCCTTTCTGAATCCCTCCTTCAATCCTCCTGAACTGAGAGTCCCAACCTGCACTTTGCCAGGAAGAGCTCCAGGGTGTGCAGGGAGAAGGGTTTCACAATGAAACTGTATGTGGGTGGGACTGGAGTCGGGGAGGGCACACGGAGCAGGTGTTTTCCGGCTACTGTGGAAGGGACATCACTCTGCCCCTAACCTTCACATCCCTTCCTCCACCACATATTTTCCTGCCATGAAGTTGGAAACAAAAAAAAAATCCTCCTAGCTTTGATCACCCAGTCCAATACACTCTTGGGCTTAGCTTCTCTTAGTAGAGTTGAACTTTGGAAATAGTAAGATCTGATCCGGCTGTTGAGGCTACAAAGAGGAGCATTTGGCCCTCCACTGTCTCAGGCCTTTGTTTGTTTGTTTGTTTTTGCTATATCATGGGGAAAGTAATCATTCTTGTCCTCCCCATTCCTAGAGACCCATCTAGAAATCCTGGCTCCTGGCCCAGGTCTGTTAGGGACACACGGGGAACAAACCAGTGGACAGAAGGTTATAGATCCACTGCTCAGCCGTGTAGATGGTAGATCTTCTGGGAAGAACAATGAACTTGCCACAAGGAAAGCTTCGCCACCGAGCAAGTATTAGGGCTGACCCTGGAAGACGACACTGCTTCCACCCAAATATTGCAGGGTTTGCCTGGCATTTGAAGGTCTCCCGCCCCCCCCCCCGCCTTTAGCTGGAGGCAAAACAAATGGCTATGGCTTTGCTGCGAAGCTGCGTTTGCCGAGCTATGACTCTGAGTCATGCTTATTGAGAGGCAGGCATGCGAGGGTCACTTAGGGAGATGGTAACCCTAAGTTGACCTCCCACATCTGTATCTGTGACCCTCCGTGCCAGGCCAGCTGCATATCCCTTATAAGTCATGGTTTCCTGAGGAAGTGCTGGGTTGACTTTGCGTGAAGGCTTACTCTGGCCAGTGGGGATCAGATGGGGTGGCATATTCTAGACTCTTTCAGTCAAAAGTGAAATTTCAATTGCATTTCTTCAAGAACTAGTTCTCATGGACCCCAGGTTGCTGTTGTCCCTTGGGACCAGCAGTCCAGGCACCCCTGGTCCACTTCTTTCTTCTTCAGGTCTGTGTGAGGTGCCTGCTGCTTGAGAAGACTGGTTATAACCCTCCTCCACCCAGCAAGAACTGTCACAAAAAGTTGGGGCCCAGCTTTGGACCCTGCAGTCGCTCCTAGCCATTGAGGTGGGGGGGTTTCTGAGTGCTTGAGGAACAGCCCAGCTCCCACAGGCGCATCAGGGCACACTGCAGATGTACCACCCAGGAGCAATTTCTGGGACTCGAGGGTCCCCCATGCCCCCTCTTCCCGAAGCCTCAGTAGGATAAGCCACTCACCACGCCCATCTCTGAGGACGATCTCGCCCTCGCCTGTGATCCAGCGGTAGCACGGGAACTCGATGTAGTCCCCATAGGGCGTCTTCAGCGTGATGTACTTCAGGTACCAGTCATCGTGGAGCCAGTATTTGCGCTTCTCGACCTTGACCAGCTGGATCTCGCCGAGTTCTTCATCCACCGTCAGGTCGTAGGAGTCTACCTGCCGGGTGGTGATGAGAGAGCAGGTGGTCAGAGGGGCTCAGAGCTACACTGCTCTGGCACAGCCATTATACTCCAAGCAACAGATCTTGAAAAATAAATCCATCAGTTGCAAGCAGACAGAACAATCCTTCCTTCTGTTCCCGGAAAGCAGGAAATGAAGGCCGGAAGCTGAGCAGAGCCACCCACAAACCTTGTCACCCTGCTCCTGTCTTCCTCACCCAAACTTCCTCCCTTGCACCATCTGCTTCCCAACTGCATTCCACAGCTTGCCTCATGCC